ACCGTGAAAACATCAATCTATATGCCATTTACCTTTTTTTAAAGTAAAAAGACAGATGTCTTCAAAAATGTTTTTTGCATGTTGAATTACTGTTTTGCAAAGTGATCTAAATGCATTTTAATATACAAATTAAGTATAATACATTTATTTATGCATTTATATGTATATATATAAACAATACCTGTGATAAGATTAGAGAAAGGGGGGTCAAGTCCCGGNTGTAGTACTTCAACCAACCAGAGTTTCACATTGTTAGCCACAAGTGACAGAACGCACAAGCTCACTTTCAAACTACCGTGAAAACATCAATCTATATGCCATTTACCTTTTTTTAAAGTAAAAAGACAGATGTCTTCAAAAATGTTTTTTGCATGTTGAATTACTGTTTTGCAAAGTGATCTAAATGCATTTTAATATACAAATTAAGTATAATACACTTATTTATGCATTTATATGTATATATATAAACAATACCTGTGATAAGATTAGAGAAAGGGGGGTCAAGTCCAGGAAAAAAAACAAATGATACTTTTCAAAAAGAACATTAAAGACCAAAACAATAAAAAATAAAAACACTTAAAAAAGCATTATCAAATGGGCACCTCGACATTTACAATAAATCAAGAGTTCTCATTCCAAAGCACTGCCCTTTTTTTAGGGGTTTCTCCGTCTTATGGTCCAAAATGTAGCATGATCATCTTTTATGGAATACCTCTAAACAAATGGATACAACCATGGGCAGGGGAGAGGGCTTTATACTGCTTTTGCAAATTAGACTTCATCCTAACAAAATTAGAGGCACATAAAATGCAGTCTGCGCCATGAAAAGCAATTCGTTTTCCCTATACAAAACAAACAAGCCCTAAATTTGCCGGAGGATTCTCCTGGCATTACTAAGTCACAACGAGAAATAGGCATTGATAATCAGAGGATGAAATCAAGCAGCCATTGAACGTAACCTACAATTACAACTATTCCAAAGAAGTGAATTAGATGAACAAAAAATTACATGAAAAACTCATTAAAAGGGGGGGCATTAGTAGGCTCTTAAACCTAAAATCTGCCTTCAAATGCAAGTCCAGAGAGAGAGAGATCCAAATTTTCCTTGCTTATTCATATAAATTTATCTTTTCAAATAGGGATCAGATCCAAAGTCGCCATCCTCAAGGTATAAAATCATCTTGTTCCTGCATCACACAACAATCTCTCTTATTGGATGCTTGAGGAGAAAATAGAAAGTAATAATTCTCACAAAAGGAAAGAATTCTAAAACTCTTGATGGCTTGTTCAGGATCTAAACAAAAGGAGAATATTTTCTTGAACACTAAAACAGACATAGCATCCTAAACATCGTGGTTTGGAAAACCAAATATTCACTTCACCAGACAATGGGATTTTCATCATAAACAAGAAGGATGATAGAGGCTATTCTTGGAGATTCCAAATGACATGGTGACCATATGTACTCATTCAAACAAATAACATTGAAAGCAAACAAGATTATCCTCATAAAAAAATTTCTCTTTTGTGTTGTGGTTTGTTTCTCATAACGTAGGCCTCACGAGTACAAGTATGCTTGATTGGACCACCGATTAACTGTCTTAATCTAAATGAGGCTAATTATATTGTTGAAACAATTGGGATGTTTCCTTGACGGAGACATTTCATTTAGCTTGCTAATATCTCCAGTAGAATATTTAGCCTCTAAGTAAGCATAATCTTTACCATGAAACTACTTCTGATAGGCTACTCAGGTTCTTGCTCCCATTCTGCTGTTTATAAAAATAAGAATTCCAAAGTCTCATGCACTTTGATCAATAAAATTTTTGAAGGGTGTTATATATATCTATATATATATATACTGTTTATGTGACAAATTTATAATAAAAAATCATTAACAATCTGGACGTTATCTAATTGAAGGATCATATAGAAATATATTCAATACCTCAGGGACCAAAATGATGCAATTGAAACATTGAAGACCAAAATGAGACAAACCTCATACTTTGGGGACCTCCAGTACAATTAACCCAACTATATATATCTCTTCTAGTCAATGAAATCTGTGTGTTCTATTTTCTCCTACACACTTGTGTCTCTCTCTCCCTTTGATTGTTTACAAAGGGAAAAAAGAATTAACTTTGGAGAGCATATAACTTTGTAGAAAAAGGGTCATTGAATCCTTCTAGCTACAACGAAAAAAAAAAAAAAAGAACAACAACAACAACAACAACACAGCCACCAACAACAACACTAATCATCATCACTTATAAGCAATAAAACAGAATTACCTCTAGCAAACCTCACTGCCATATCTTTTCAGAAGCAAGTCCCTAAATAAAACAGATATAGACACAGGGCACAAACACGACATGACAGGGATGCACTGATATGGAAATTCTCAAAAAACAGGTGGTCACGGCAACCTGGGCAGGACATGTCAAAGTATAGTATGCACACAGTTCATGTNAAACCTCACTGCCATATCTTTTCAGAAGCAAGTCCCTAAATAAAACAGATATAGACACAGGGCACAAACACGACATGACAGGGATGCACTGATATGGAAATTCTCAAAAAACAGATGGTCACGGCAACCTGGGCAGGACATGTCAAAGTATAGTATGCACACAGTTCATGATTAAAAATATGCATCTTTAGTTTGCTCTATAAATTTCATAAATAGGATATTTTTTACAAGACAAAGCTTGACAAATACCGTACTCAGGAGTGTATAACATTTGCGATTAACTTGCCTTTCCCAACAAGATGGTCCATTACATGCTTGCTTCATCTATCAGCATTAAAAAGAAAGAATTACACATTTTGGGTGAGCTCTTCCTACCTAAGAGAATTGGGCATGGATTCCACTAAGAAGCATTTCTATTACATATATCATGTGTCGGGGAGTGTCTGGTAAGTTGGGGCCAATAGTAGACAAATGATCAATTTCATTTTTAATATCAGACACAGCATGTAAGTGTTAATATATTTTTCGGAGTTTATAAGAAGAGGTGACATCCAACATGTGTCCACGACTCCACCACCAGCTCAACGACTCCCTAGAAGTGTTTGTTCTACTTATACACACTTAAAAATATAAAACACACAATCTACAGAGAGTATATTTTCCCAACAATTTTATACTCAACAACAAAAATTATGCTCACCTCAATCAGCCAATCAAAAGTCATACTATGTAGATAACATAAGTTGTGATAACTAGAATTTATCCAGATAGATAATTTTGNTACTCAACAACAAAAATTATGCTCACCTCAATCAGCCAATCAAAAGTCATACTATGTGGATAACATAAGTTGTGATAACTAGAATTTATCCAGATAGATAATTTTGTGTCATATACAGCAACAAAAAAATGGCTACACCTTGTAGTCCAAGAATGTAAATGTAACATCATGTCTGAAATATTTTCCTGGTAACCATTATTAAACTAAAATGACCAGAACTCTGTTGGAGAGTATAAATGAAGCTCATGGAACTCCATTGAGATCTTTAACCCTACTCTACCAAATTGAATCCTCAAACAAATCAAAAACTCGTTTATTGCATCTCTAGTGGTGTTTGTACTCATCATCAATATTGAATATCTGTTTCTGAGCTGGGGGCATGAGAGACCAGTTGTGGCTTAACAGTTAAAGAAGGGGTGCAAAAGGTAATTTTAACATCAGAATGATTTGCAGGTTGACATATTCTCAAAACCCTATTAACTGATGGCGTCCTCTTGGATTCCAAGTTGAGGAGTGGGAGAACAGGTAATGTGCATACAAATTATCATGGTAAGGATGGGATATGCTAACAAATGGAAAGGATAAATTTAAGCTTTCATCTCATTGATTAAATTTTTGGTTTTCATCCATGGCTCTCCAGCAGGGCTTTTGATTGCTTTTTCTTTTTTTGAACATGAGCTTTTGATTGTTTAAGACATCTGCTCTGGCCATGGAGGCCCTTACTAATATCTAGAGCAAACTGAAGCAGAAGGAATGTAAGGGCTACACGTTCCACCTTCAATATGTTGATGAAATATCGGTTGTTAACTAACGATTAAATACTGTTGTTTCAATGCAATATTAAGGCTGAAATTAACCATATCTGTTAAGAGACAGCAAATGGCAAAGCAAAGAAGGGCAAGTTTCTGTTCTGATTTAGGATAGATCTTGCTAAAATTTGAATTACTAACGGAATGGATTCATAATTGCATAATGAGGTCCATATAAGTGCACAGACTTCAGATTTAAGAAACACAAAATGCCTCACAAAAGAATCTTTCAATTTCTACCGATCGAGATCTCACAATAGTACAGTTGCAGGGCGACATAAAAATTTCGGCACATCATTTCTAAAAACACACTCTCATCCGGGATCACCAACACATATAGATAAATAAATATTTATGCTCGTACTTACTAGTGGATCAGATATACACATTAATGTTCGCTAGATGTTAGCTTGGCTAGGAAAGAAAGAACACTAGGTATCACTGTCTTTATGTAATAGAAACAGATGATGGGAAAGAACAGCAGGAGTACAAATTCACCTNATAAATATTTATGCTCGTACTTACTAGTGGATCAGATATACACATTAATGTTCGCTATATGTTAGCTTGGCTAGGAAAGAAAGAACACTAGGTATCACTGTCTTTATGTAATAGAAACAGATGATGGGAAAAAACAGCAGGAGTACAAATTCACCTATTAGGATGAGTGTATACATGCAAGTGTGTTGTGTAATCCCACTTTTGGCAAAGTCCTATCCTGATACCAATGAATAATTCATGATGCCTATTGGAAAAACAAAGTTAAACATATTTTCTTTGACTTGAACAATTCCAGCAGATTCAAGAAATAAGCATGCCATTTGGTAATTTACAAAAAAATATTTTCTAGTTATGTTATTAATAAGAAATTATCAGTTGCAACATCAAGACCATGAGGCAAGCATTATGAAATCGAAACAGAAAACGCAATGCATAATCACACCATCACCGCACTTACTAGGTCATCCAAGGAGCCAACAATGCCACAAGCATTCCTTCCCTGAGGCTTCCTTTGCTCCTTTAAATTACCTTGCTTCACAATAGGTGTTGTCTGTACAGCTAACTGTGCAACCTCATTATGCTGCATGACTGATCGATCTAAACCATTTGATTGTCCAATCATATTGCAATCATCATTTATATTGAAAGTTTTGTTCATTGGGTCCGACCGTTGGATGTATGGAAGTACCACATCAAGAGGAGAGAATGAAGAATTCATTGGGCTGCACGTAAGATATGAGTGGTGAATTGCATCTTGTATGGGGTCATCCCACCCTTGTTTTAAGCCAAAATCCATATTTTGACTAGCACTACTGCTAATGTGTTCTGCTTGAGATCGTAAATCTGTTCCTGTATCTGGCAATACAGAAGTTATGTAGGACACATTCTGAGGATTAATCATCATATGCATGGTCATTGAAGAAATATTGCCTCTTGAGTCACTTGGAGTGGCTTGTTTGAGACCTTGCCTTAACATAAAAGCATCAGTTTTGATCTCAGATGACTGAACAGCATTTGGCCAGTTTTCATTGCATCTACCAAAATCCAATAAGGGAGAATGAAGTCTAGAGTCTAAGGACGCCTCTACAACAGAAGATTGATTTCCAAAAGCCTCCCTCATTTGGTTGTCTTGAAGGTGACCTCGTAATGTTATGGGGTTATTTGGAATACCCACAAGGGAGTATCTTGAGCTACCAGCATTAGTTTGCATATCAATGGAGCCATTGGAAATGGGAAAAACCACTGAATCATTATTAGCGGAGTTGAGCTCTCCAATTTGAGAAACAACTTTACTATGTTGCAATTGATCAGATCCTATTGACAATGGCATTCCTTGAAGTACATTCTCATCTTGATTTCCAGTTTTAGTAACTGCGTGGAAATTAGCCCAATCATTAACGGGATTCCTTGAGCTTTGTGTAAGACTCAATTGACCTATTGCTGAAATGCCTAGATCAGCAGGAGTGTTCAATCGACCAAGTACACTACTAGATGAGAAGGAGATGAAAGCAGCATTCTCAAATTGTCCAGAACCAGCCACAGTATGAAGATCTCCAAGCCCACTCAAAGAACTCATGTGCAAACAAGCAGAATCTGCACTGCCTAAAGCTGCAACCATATTATCTTGCTGGCTCTCTGCATCTCTAGTCCTTTTCAGGAACTGCCTATATTTCTGCAACCACAGAACAAGACAGTTAGCTGCGAGGAAAGAGAAGAGCTCAGACAATAAGCAATTGAAGCAGGAAAACAAAGGGTTTTTGCCTGGAGATGGCTTGCCACATTCTCTCTGGTAAGCTTCTCCACATTCATTAACTCCAGAATACTTTTCGGCATAGCCTCTGCAAAGGAAATAGGAGAAGAGTGATGGAAGTTTAGTAAAAACTCCTTGCATGAAAGGCTCAGCATATTAAAAAAGATTAGAAAGGAAAAAAATGATCAAGCATAAGAGAATTCAAGGATATCACAAGTTCATCAGTAAACAAGATTCAAAATTTCTTTTCGTAGTTTCGGTTAGCTTGGAAACAAAAACTTTTTGAAATGTTACAGAAACAAAGGGGAACAAAAAAAGAAAAATCAGACTATTGATTTTGAAACATTCTGCAACATTGGCCAAAACATATTGAAAGATTTTGAAACATAGAAATTTCGATTTTCTGTCACTAGTTCATTTTGGTTTTCCGTCACTAGTTCATTTCGGTTTTCACAGAAACCAAATGTTTCAACCCTTTTGATGGAAAAAAAAAAAAATCCTTGTCCATCTGTGTCAAGTTCTTTCAAANTTTTGAAACATAGAAATTTCGATTTTCTGTCACTAGTTCATTTTGGTTTTCCGTCACCAGTTCATTTCGGTTTTCACAAAAACCAAAATGTTTCAACCTTTTGATGGAAAAAAAAAAAAAATCCTTGTCCATCTGTGTCAAGTTCTTTCAAGCTCAAGAATAGTTAGAGAAAAAAACAGCAAACAGTGTAAGCTGAATGTTTTGATAAATTGGGAGTCCAATTTTCAAAAACTCTAACTCTGCGTTTGGTACGTAGGATTAAGGGTGGGAATGGAATATGCATACTTTGGTAATGCTGATTCTTATGTTTGGTTGACAGGAATTGAAGTTCATTCCCATTCCTGAAGAATAGCTAATCCCACAAATTGTGGGATTAGGCATTACCAAATCTATCATAGTATTTCTCATTCCATTCCCATTCAAGAGTGAGCCATTCTGTTTAAAAAAAAATGCAATCTCGATTCTTTACTTCCCCATCGTCGGTCGCTGGTCCTCCTCTGATCTCTCTTCTCTTTTTCTCACATCTTCTCTTCTTCCTCATAAATGCCATTGCACTCCATCTTTCTTCTCATCCCCTCCCAATTACTTTCTGCGTCTCCCCCATCTCTCTGTGAAGCAAAGGTATGCACAGGTGGCCAAGAACAGCCTATATGAGCAGATCCGACCAATCCAGGTAATTACTAGTTAAATTTAGTTAATAATTCTCAAATCCAACTTAGAATTTTTAGGTTTTAAGATTTTTTTGTCGTTTGAAATGTGAATCTATCTCTTAAAAACACTTTGCTTCAACATTTCAAATCGATTGTTTCCTTTTTTCCTTTGTAATTCGAGATATGGCAGTAGATCTTTGTAATTCGAGAGAGCCTAGTGTGATTGATTGGGTTGAGGCCATGAGGGTGGGAGCTCTCTGCTTTTGTTGTTTCTTGTAGTTTAGTTAATCACTTATTTGCTGGTTTTTTTTTTGCCACACACTTGTAATAGACAAATCTTGAGTCATAAGAGGCACATTGTACAATGCAAACAAGGTGTTTGTCAAAATGCCAGAGAAAAAAACTAGATTTTATGAGCATGATCAATAGGTTACTCACTTTGATCTTTTATTGCATCCGTTAGAACATGTTGCTTGCTGCATGTTCAATTAAATTTCCTCACTCTATGCCCGTTTTAGTAAAGCTTGAATGCCTCCCCCCTCAAACTCCTGAACTGATCGAGACTGTTAGAACGCTCTGATATTTTTTGGGCTTGCTCTATTTCTTTACTTGCTGCAGAAGTTTGAAGGGGGGAAGAGAAGCAGAAAATTTTACCAAAATAAAAATTTTCTCTTTGATGCCTTTGATTATTTCTCTGAATGATTTAAAAAATGGGATAGGGCAAGATCATGGGTCTTAGATTGTACCAGTGCTAAAAATTCCAATAGATTTTCTTTGTAAATGGATAGCTGATTTGGCTTAGTGGCTATGTTCTATATTGTTGGGTGCATGTATAAAATATGTTGCTTTTACTGTTACAATGATATTATATTTTTAAATCTATTGTTAGATGTTTGTACTGATTATTTGTCTGACATATCTTTACTCCAATCAGTTGTGCTATAAATTCAAACTTGTTATAAGGCTTTATTATATCCAGACCTCTAGAGGTTTCTCATAAAATTACATGAGATTATGTGGGTCTCTTTGTCTCTGTCCCTCTCTCTCTTTATACAAACATATGTGCATATTAAGGATGTGGTGGTGTGGTTGATGGGTTGGTGTTGTAGAGGTGGTTTGATGTGTTTGTGGAACACTATTAGATAGGGGCGGAGCCAAAAATTTGTCCTAGGGTGGGCACACTTAACCAACAAATTTTAATTTTTTTTCTCCAATCAATAAAAGTATTATTGTACATATCTTTTTTTTAAAATTGTGTTACATATTTAAAAATTCATTAAATACAAAAGGATCAAACGTCAATATATGTAGTCTATAGAAACAATACCCAATAAAAAAAGGCTAATTATAACCCTTTTCAAAAAATGAGGCTGATTACAACCATGTATCGTGACCCCTGACAACTTTTCATACTTTGAAAAGATTGTATGATAATGTTATTAATAATGTTGTCAAAAATGTTTTTTTCTATATAAGTAATTAAGTTAATAGTAATCAATTTTTGGCTAAGTCGCATCAATTTTAAAAAACTATAATAATTTCAAACAATTATAAATAGTATAAGATTGAAAGTTATCGAAAAAAATAGGTTCAATCACTAGTCGCAACTTTTTAACATATTTTCACATTTCTTTAAGTGAAAAGTGTGCCCGATTATTTTTTTGCATAAGATTTAATTCGTCCAAATTTATTAGAATGGTCAAATATTTTTGGTTTTTGGTCATGAGAGTAGGCCTAATTCCAACTACCTAATAAAAAATCATAAATATCCATAATCCGAGGCCGTAGCCCGGAATTTGATGGAAGATCCGCCAAATTAATATCTACATGACTTTTCTTTGAAAAATCACCACCTCTATTTGGAGAAGGTGATAACTCTGACTCAGACTTTCTCTTGAAGCACTTCTCTATGACTGTTTCAAAAAATTATTCAAGAAAATTGGTTTATACACCAACTTTTGCAATTAATTAAACAAACTATTTTGTCAATTTTATTTTTATCTCTACCATTCTAAAGAATATATTGTATTAGGAAGCAAATACAAGTACAAATGCATAAAAGTATCCAATTCATAATTTTAATAAATTCAAGTAATATCATTCAAAGTATTAAAAATAGGTTCAGATTGAGAGTTACCAAAAGATAAGTCAACTCAATAACCGCAACTCAAGGTCTTCAAGGCATCCCTAATTACTAATTCGGGCTATAACAAATTAAAAAAATAACTATGGCAAAATGCACAAAAAAACAAATTAGTGAAAAATGCATAAAAATTTAAATGAGGGCAAAATTCACAAAATATAAATTAGGGAACTGAGCTCAAGTAAGGACAAAAAGCTCAAGGAACTGAGCTGCCTTCTCATGTGTTGACCGTTGAGCAAAGCTTCTCTTTGTTTCTTCTCTTTTTCTTGTGGTTAGGAAGTGGGCANGAGCTGCCTTCTCATGTGTTGACCGTTGAGCAAAGTTTCTCTTTGTTTCTTCTCTTTTTCTTGTGGCTAGGAAGTGGGCAGCCGGATGGGAGTGAGTGAGTCTAAGAGAATAAAAAAAAAAAAAAAAAAAAAAAAAAAAAAAGATAAGATAGGCTTTAGTCAAGTGGGGCAAAAGTTTTGTTTTTTAATGATGAGTGGGCTAAAAGTTATGTCTTTAATGTTGGGCCAAAAATTTTATTTTTAATGTTGGGCTAAAAGTTTTATTTTTTTAATAGGTTTGGGTGGATTGTGATATGTCAAATATTTGATTTTTTAATAAGTTTTGGTAGATAATAATAGACTCAATTTTTTTTGTCTTAAATGAGTTTAATTTTTTAATTCTTTTGGGTAAATAATGTGAGCCTAATATTTTTATCTTGAATTTTGGGTGAACACAAATAATATACTATACAAATATATAATATATAATATATATACTTAACTAAAAAAAAATTTTTTTTTTTGAGGGGGGCACGTGCCCGCCCTGGCCCTAGCCTCCGTCCGCCCTTGCTGTTAGAGGTGGTGGTTGGGTGGGGCGTGCATGAGGGGGAAAAGAGAGAGAAAGCAATAGTTTTGTTTGCTTGGTTTGCTGTGTGAAGGTGATTCATCTGAAATTTAGACAAATCGGAAGGGGATTGTTTGATTGAAATGCACACACACACACAACACACACATGCATTTACCTCAATAAAGTTGTTTGGGTTANGTTGGGTGGGGCGTGCATGAGGGGGAAAAGAGAGAGAAAGCAATAGTTTTGTTTGCTTGGTTTGCTGTGTGAAGGTGATTCATCTGAAATTTAGACAAATCGGAAGGGGATTGTTTGATTAAAATGCACACACACACACAACACACACATGCATTTACCTCAATAAAGTTGTTTGGGTTAGATGGTTTATGATCTATTGATTTTTCTGTTGGTTTGAATTTACCTATTGAGGTGAAGATGGCTGTAGTAAAAGACTTGTGTTGTTTGCCTGTGATAAGGAGGAGAAGGAAAATTGTTTTTGATGATTATGGTTGATGTTCCTGTGCTGAACTGGGGAAGGATTGCTGTCAAATCCTTGCTGATGCTAGCTGATTTTTCTAGCTTTTGCTTAGTGTTTGGTTCTCTGCTATTGAGCTGAACTGGGAGTTGGTTGCTGTTAGCTGGTTTGGCTTTGTTTGAGCTGGAGCTGCTGCTAATTGTTCATGTGTTTCGTGAAACAAATCGAGTTGCTGATCGCCTTGCTGCTCAGGCTGTGTTATGTGGGAATTCTAAGGATTTCTCGGTGGGATTGAAGCTTCCAGTTGTGGTGGGTCTTGCACTGCTTAAGGATCAACAGGGTTTACCAGTTTTACGTAGACGTAAAAGGCTGATGTTTGATGATAATGGCTAAGATGTGCTGTTATTGGAGTTGATGTTTGCTCCTTTTGCCTGAAGTAAATGTGGATTTGTTTGAAATTATGATGCAGTGTGAGGATGTGATGAAGAATCTGTGCTGGGGGGAGCTGCCANCTGGAGCTGCTGCTAATTGTTCATGTGTTTCGTGAAACAAATCGAGTTGCTGATCGCCTGCTGCTCAGGCTGTGTTATGTGGGAATTCTAAGGATTTCTCGGTGGGATTGAAGCTTCCAGTTGTGGTGGGTCTTGCACTGCTTAAGGATCAACAGGGTTTACCAGTTTTACGTAGACGTAAAAGGCTGATGTTTGATGATAATGGCTAAGATGTGCTGTTATTGGAGTTGATGTTTGCTCCTTTTGCCTGAAGTAAATGTGGATTTGTTTGAAATTATGATGCAGTGTGAGGATATGATGAAGAATCTGTCCTGGGGGGAGCTGCCAACTGTTTTGCAGTGAGTTTTTGATTTTTTGGTAGGCGTTTGTGCCTTATTTTGCTTTGGGTTGTTTTGTTAAGGCATTTGTGCCTATCTTTTGCTTCTTGTAAATCTTGCTTTGTTAATAAATAAACTTTTATTTTTTTGAAAAAAACAATGGTCTTTGTGCTGGGCGGGGAGCTCTTCTTTTTGAGATTTTGTTTTAATTGTGTGGAAAATCCATTTATTGGTTTTCCTTTTGCTTCTTGTAATTATTGGTTTTGTTCATAAATAATTTTTTTTTTGTTGTTTAAAAAAAAAAAAAAGGTTTAGGGTTTAGTAGTGTAAGTTTACATTCATTTGAAATAAATGACCAATTTTGAATAGTTTTTGATTTTGATTTTTTTTTTGTGAACCTATTTGGAAGGAATTTGTTTTCTATTTTTTTTTTAAAATTTATAGGGGTTTAATTTTTTAATGGATATTCATTTTGTCTAATTATAAATTTTTTAACACAACTTTTAAAGGCAATCGCAATCACAAAAAAAAAATTGTTATTAATTATTTTTAGTCACTATGGATATTTTGGTTAAAGATGATTCCATTCCAATGAAAAATTTGTTTTATCCAAACATAAGAATGGAATGAACATTCCATTCTAGCATTTAATTCTAAACAGTTGTCAAACAATGGAATGGTAATGCGCATTCCATTCCATTCCCAAGTTTATTCTATTCCCAAACTCATTTCATTCCTATTGAAAAACATTACGGCGTACCAAACGCAGAATAAAGGGTTTCAATTTGTATGATGTAGTTAGCAAATGGAAATGAATCATACATGATAAATTAAATTGACACATGCCAACTAATAAACTAAAAATACAGCAAAAATTCTCTAAAAAAATGCGCAAACTCTGGGCGTATGGTCAGGGAAGAACTTACTGTCAATGCCCCCCAACTGATTTACAGCTGCAACAAATTTGTGACGCAGCTCCTCAGACCAAACAACTCGAGGTTTCTTCTGACTTGGTGGATCCTCATCACGGTCTTCATTCTCATCAACACTCTGGTCCTTCCTTTTCCTATTAAGCTTTTCATTCTGATCAACATTCCTGGTTCCAGGGAATCCTTCTCCTACTTTACCAGACTCACATTGAGGCTTGTTAAAAGTTATACGGTCCTTAAAATCAATCTTCTTCCTCCAAACGATATGTTTCCAGATGAGCTTTAGCTCCTCTATCCGGACTGGTTTCAGCAAATAATCACAAGCTCCATGCATAATTCCCTTCATCACAAACTCGGTATTGCCATGGCCAGATAACACTAGAATTACACAAACAGAAATAATTTTATGAAACCTAGTACAAACACCACCCACAGCAAGTGTTTCCTAGTTTAATTTACACATGTTGAAAGTATATTACTCCGGTTAGTAACAGACTTAAACCGTGTAAGCAATTTTTGCCAATCATTTTCTGAACGAGTTAAAAACAAAGGAATCAAGAAGTTTTATATGTTTTCCCAAAAAAAATTGAATCCTATTACGGATGCCTGTCAAAACTGCNGGAATCAAGAAGTTTTATATGTTTTCCCAAAAAAAATTGAATCCTATTACGGATGCCAGTCAAAACTGCCAAAACTTTTCTAAAGTGGCTCAAAATTAAGAAATTTCAAAATGTAATAAAAACTCAGGAGCCATGGGAGATATGTTCTCATGGAAAGCAATGCATCAAGACAATTATCACTTCTTTTTGTAGGTAATAGAATAATTCCCATTACATAAACAAATTCACCATTCCGTGCCGAGAACAGAAGTAACAGACTATGATGATTGTCATGTAGAAGTGTTCCTTGGCTTACTTATGAAAGGCAAATCCATCTCAAGCCCCACAAGCTCCAGTAGCTTAAAACCATCTATGTCTGGCATATCAACATCACTGATAACTAAATCAAAATCATTCTTTCTTTGTTGCAACATTTTGAGCGCCATAATCGGTTGACTGGTGGTTGTAACTGCAAATCCATGTCCAATTTTTAAAATCAGACCAATCCATGAACATTTTCAATTAATTAAATGAAAAAAGAACATGACAACAACCCAATGCAATTAAGAACTGAGTTAAGATTTCATAGAAATGATCCAAATGTAACACTCTAAGTCTCAATCAATCTTGCAGTAATGTCTATTTTCCATAGAATACCCACATTTTTCTAAAACTGATACCAAACTGAAGAGTTCACACTGTCCAATCAAGTCAATAGGAAAAATTTCCCAGGTAAATCATCCAAAACTTAGATACAAAAAGAGGAGAATATGAGAGAGGCTTCACATGATAAATCATAGTTCAATTAAAAATGCAGAATAGTTTCTTACTACAGAAGCAGAAATAAGAAAATCCCATCTCACAAAACTCATTCAAAAATTCACAGGGAAAGAAAAAAAGCAGTTGCATAAATTGACTTCCAAACACTAAACCAAGAACAAAATCCAGATTAAAAGAGCACAAATAGACAAACCCGTAACCGAGATCACACAAACAAATTCATAAGAGAGAGAGAGAGAGAGAGAGAGAGAGAGCAAATCTTCACAAAGAATAAGAAAGAAACAAACCATGGTATTGGCATTTACGAAGCAAAGTCTCCAACAGCGCGAGGCAAATTGGGTTATCGTCTACGGCCAGAACTCGAATACCCACTGGAAACTGATCGTTATTCTCATCAATTTTCTGCTCAACAGTCATTCTTTCAAGGCCAGAAGAGTTCACAAACCCAGGACTGACAGGATAGCGTTGAAGAGTGATTAGAGAGTTTTTATATTAAAGAGTACAGACTCTGGTTTTATTCTTCGTNATTTGATTTTTCCCTTTCTGCAGTCCCTCCTTAGGCCCTGACATTCTTTTGCCTTTTTTAGGTTTCAACTGCCTCTGTGTGTCTTTTTTCAAGAGCTTTTCATTTTAGCTAGTTGAAGTAGAGTCATGAGGCTATGCGAAAGGAGCTTCTTACTGCTCAAGGGAGGATTGTTAAGCTTGAAGTTAATGATAGGGCTTCTCAGGCTGAGCTTGTGGCGACCCATGAGAGGGTCGCGCTCAGAAAGACTGTTTGCATGAGGGCTGAAACAGAGCTACTGACAACTCGCGAAAGGGCGGCTAAGCTTGAGGTTGAGCTTTTGGTGACCCATGAGAGGGACACACTCAGAAAGGCTGAGCTTATGGCGACCCGCGAGGGGGCTGCGCTCAGAAAGGCTGTCTACTTGGAGGCAGAGGTGAAGGCAACTCGTGAGAGGGTTTCTCGGGCTGAGGCGAATTTGCTATTGGTTGGTGAAAGTGCCGTCAAGGCTGATGCTGATTTAGAGAGTGGCCTTGTAGATGCCTTCATTGATGGCTACAAGGATCTTTGAGGAAATATTTTTGCTGTATTTTCGGATATTGACCTTTTAAGCTTTGTGCCATATGAGGCGCCTGATGATGGTGACTTTGACAGTGCAGAGGGCGAAGATGAGAAGGATTGCAGTCATGAGAATAGTTTGAGTGTTGGGGACTTTTAAATTTTTTTTTTCAAAAACGCAGTGTGTAGCCTCTTTTGCCATTGATGTTCTTTTGAAATTGAATGCAAGAATGCAAAGAACTTTTGAAGCTAATTAAAAAAAATTTATTCAATTACTGCTTATGCTAAGCAATGGTGGGTAATAACCCAAAAAAAGTACAAGAAATAAAATCAAGTTCCCCATATTTACTATTTCTACTCTCCTAAGGTGTCATTAGTAGTACCTCTTCAGATGTTCAACATTCCATGGATGGGGTAATACCTTCCCCTCAGAACTCTAAATGTTATAGGTGTCTGACCTCACTGCTTCTGTTATGAGGTACGGTCCTTCCCAGTTTGGTCCAAGCTTTTCTTCTCGCGAATCCTTCGTGGCGAGGATTACTTTCTTAAAGACTAGGTCTCCTGCTTGAAAGGAACGAGATTTCACCCTCGAGTTGTAGTATCTCGCCATACAGCGCTTGTACTCCGCATTCCACACCATCACCATCTCTCTTTCCTCCTCCACTAAGTAGAGGTTAACGCGGAATCCTTCCTCATTGATGATGGGGTCGTGGTGTTGGACCCTTAGAGAATGCATCCCAATTTCCACAAGCACAACTACCTTAGTTCCAAAGGCGAGTGAGCAAGGAGTTTCGTTAGTTGGGGTCCTTAGTGTTGTTTAGTAGACCCATAATACACCCGGGAGTTCATCCACCTAGAGACCTTTTGCTTTTTTTAGCCTCATCTTTAGGTTGTATAGTATTGTTCTAACCATGACCTCTGCCTATCCATTTGTCTGCGTTACGCTAGGCTGGAATGAGGTTGTTTTATTTGAAGGTCGACACAAAACGAGTTCAGGAGCTTATTGTCAAATTGTTTGATGTTGTTGCTGACTATGGCTTGGTGTACTCAAAAGCTGCAGAACAGGTTCTTCCAAATGAAATCTTAGACTTTTGCATCTGTTATCTTTGCTAAGGGTTCGGCCTCCGCCCACTTTGTGAAGTAGTTGATTGTTATCACCACGAACTTACACTGCCCTCTACTTAGAGGTAGGGAGCCCAAGATGTCGATGCCCCATTTGAAAAAAGGCCATGACCTTGTGATGACTGTTAGCTTTTCTGGTGGCTGTCTGGGCATAGTGGCGAAGCGCTGACACTTGTCGTATTTTTTGGTTAACTCTTGGGCATCCCTTACCATGCTAGGCTAGAAGTATCCTTGCCTGAGTGCCTTGTAGGCGAGGAAGCATCCTCTAGAGTGGTTTCCACAACTCCTTCATAGATTTTCTATAGGGCATAGTCAGTTTCTTCTGGGGAAAGGCAACGTAGCAGTGGCAAGGAGTAGCCTTTTATACAAGATGTCCCACAAGATGGTAAACTTGGAGACTCTCATCTTGAGCTTCTTAGCTTCCAATAGGTCGTTTGGCAATGCGCCCTTATTGGCGTCATCTAGTTCGATTCGACAGATGCACAGTTGACGCTAATGGCTTCCATGTATAGCCTGCTGGCTTAAACTGGTGACTGATGAATGCAGGTCTTAGTGGGGCTTCCGAGGATGAGGCGAGCTTGGCTAATGCATCCGCAACAATATTATCTTCCCTTGGGATGTGACAGATCTTGAAGGGGTGGAACTTAGTCAGCAAGGCTTGCGCCATAGCAAGGTAATCCTGCATTCTAATTCCTTTTGCTTCGAACTCGCCTTTCACTTGGTTGACTATCAACAGAGAGTCACTATAAGTGATGAGGTGTTGGGCTTCCACTTCAATTGTCAACCTTAAGTCAAAGAGAAGGGCTTCGTATTCTGCCTCATTATTGGAGGCCATAAAGTGGAGTTTCATGCCATATTTGATATGAGTGTCGTCGAGGTTGGTCAGGATTAGGCCTGCTCCATCTCCTTCCTTAGTTGAAGAGCCATCAACGTAGACCTTCCAAGGAGGCGATAGGGAGCGTTGGTGATCGTGGTGGGCGCCTAGATGTCTGGGTAAGTTTCTGATGAGGCTTCCTGAGGTGTTGAGGGTCTACTGCCCTCTTCCTCCGCCGATGTGAGCTCTGCAATAAAGTTCACCAAGGTTTGTGCTTTGATGACTACCCTTAGTTGGAATTGGACATCGAACTCGCCCAACTCTACTACCTATTTAAGAAGTCTTCCAGAGACATCTGGCTTCCCAAGAACCCTCTTTAGGGGCTGGTCTGTGACAATGACAATGGTATGACTGTGGAAGTAATGTCAGAGATGCCTTGCTGTTGAGATCAGGGCGAGCTCCAATTTTTCTAACCATGAATATCTTATTTCTGCTCCTTAGTATACCCTGCTCACNAGGGGCTGGTCTGTGACAATGACAATGGTATGACTGTGGAAGTAATGTCAGAGATGCCTTGCTGTTGAGATCAGGGCGAGCTCCAGTTTTTCTAACCATGAATATCTTATTTCTGCTCCTTAGTATACCCTGCTCATTTAATAAATAGGTTTTTACACTCCTTGGTTATCCCTGATGAGGACGGAGCTTACTGCTGATGGGGAAGCAGAGATGTACAAATATAGAGTTTCACCTAGCATAGTATGTGAAATGAGGGGAGGTGTAGCCAAATAAGCTTTGAGCTTTTGAAAAGCTTCTTCTGCCTCAGGTCCCCACTCAAAGGCTTTCTGGAGAATCTTGAAAAAGGGTAAGCATTTGTCTGCAAACTTGGAAACAAATCTGTTGAGTGTTGTAATTCTTCCATTGAGGTGCTAGAGCTACTTGGTTGAGGTCGGTGACTTCATGTCCAAGATGGCTTTGATCTTGTCGGGATTTGTCTCAATTTCCCTCTAATTGACCATGAAGCCTAATNAAAAGCTTCTTCTGCCTCAGGTCCCCACTCAAAGGCTTTCTGGAGAATCTTGAAAAAAGGTAAGCATTTGTCTGCAAACTTGGAAACAAATCTATTGAGTGTTGTAATTCTTCCATTGAGGTGCTAGAGCTACTTGGTTGAGGTCGGTGACTTTATGTCCAAGATGGCTTTGATCTTGTCGAGATTCGTCTCAATTTCCCTCTAATTGACCGTGAAGCCTAATAACTTTCTTGACCTGACGCCAAAGGCGCATTTCTCAGGGTTTAGCTTCATGTGGTATGACCTGAGAACATTGAAAGTTTATTGAAGATGGTCTATGTGGTCTGCTGCGATGAGGCTTTTTACCAGCATATCGTCAACGTATGCCTCTATTATTCTTCCAATCTGAGACTGAAACATCTTGTTCACTAGCCATTGGTAGGTTGCTCCCGTATTTTTTAGTCCAAAGGGTATGACCCTATAACAGTAGGTCTCCTTCGGAATGATGAATGACATTTTTTCCTAGACTGGGAGATACATGCTGATCTGGTTATATCTAGAGTATGCGTCTAGGAAGGTGAGTAATTCATGGCCTGCAGTGGCGTCGATGAGGAGGTCAATTCGTGGCAACGGGTAGCTTTCTTTAGGANACATGCTGATCTGGTTATATCTAGAGTATGCGTCTAGGAAGGTGAGTAATTCATGGCATGCAGTGGCGTCGATGAGGAGGTCAATTCATGGCAACGGGTAGCTTTCTTTAGGGNGGAAGGTGAGTAATTCATGGCCTGCAGTGGCGTCGATGAGGAGGTCAATTCGTGGCAACGGGTAGCTTTCTTTAGGACACGCTTTGTTAAGTTCGATGAAGTCAACGCAGAGGCGCCACTTTCCGTTGGTTTTAGTCAACATCACCACATTTGATAGCCACACTGGTTAGAACACTTCTCTGATTGCCCCTTTTTCTATCAACTTTCCCATTCCTTGTTCATTGTTTGCACCCTTTTAGTGGAGGTGCTCCTTAGTTTTTGGTGAACAGACTTGTAATGAGGGTCGACATTGAGGCGGCGAGTGGCGACCTTAGAGTTAATGCCCTTGAGGTCTTCTTGTGACCATGCGAAAAACATCCATATTGCATCTCAAAAAATCTAAAAGCTAGCGGGCTAAATCTTGAGGAAGGGAAGAGCCAATGTACACTATCCTGCCTGAATGCTTCTCATCTAAGACTACTAGTTTGAGCTCCTCTACTAGTTCTCCTCTTTTCAATATGGTATCATCTCTCGGGTCAAGGAACTCCACTTGCAGTGCTTCTTACGGCTTTCTAGTCTTCATGAAGGAGACGTAGCATTCTTTTGCAGCAACCTGATCTCCTCAAACCTCTCTGATTTCATTTGGAGTTAGAAAATGGAGGATCAAATGAT